TTAGGATTGATCACATTGCTTGAATAAAACAGACACCAAGAGATGAGGAGGGGGACAACTCAGAATAGTTTCTTCTATGTGGGAAGCCTTAGAGCTCCAAGTATGATCTCAGAATAACAAAGGTGCTAATGAAGACAGAAGCCCTATGTGAAAAGACTCCAACTACAACTTTGAAATTGTAAGCCCACCAAAATATGCATGGGTGGAAGATGCTTTCTATTATAATCACAGAAGCTGGCTCAACACTCCACCATAAGACTTGTACATGATATTTTTGCCCCTGACAACATAAAACTATCAGTCTAAAAGCTTCAAGAGGCATGCAGGACATGCGCAGTGCTTTGCCCACCTGCTATTGTCTAGCTGGTTCACATAGCAGTTAGTACAAATGGCATTCAGAGCTGACAAGCATCAAATTTGTGTGGTTTAAATGATTTACCTACCAAAACAGGTTGTGTTCTAGCTGTTCTCATTGAAAACAGCAATGAAGACAACAACAACAACAAAACACACAAACAAACAAAACCCCAGCAAAATGCCTTCTCATTGAATGATGGAGTAGTAGCAGTTGGGATAACAGTATACTCCTTTACACTGAGAATTCAAAAGAAAAGCAAATGTTAATTGATCAAAAGATATAGGAGAATTCTAGAAGTTATTCTTGCTTTGTTATTGATTCGTTATACATATTTAAATTATATAAACAAAAAAATCAACTAAATTAATGTTTGCCAAAAAATATGAATGCCAAATCTTGACTGGATGAAACCTCAGTAATAACCTGTAGAAATAATCTAATGCCAGAGCTAAACACAAATTGGGTGTCTATTCTGCTCAGGGTATGGAAAGAGGAGGAAGACACAATTTCCAATACTGTTACAGAGAAACAGGAATACAAGGTTACTGTATCTGTTGTTTGCACAGAGTAAGCTTGTTGTATGGTTTCATGTGCATTGGTCATTAACTCCACTCCATTCAGTTACTGACAGGTAACAGAGGCTCAGTAAGGTTAGGTAACTTGTAAGTTACTGTCATGAATAATCTACAAAGACACATTTCAGTAAATGGTACTAGATGCTACAGTCTGCTCATGACCGCCAACCTCTTCCTATTTGTGAAACAAACAGCTAAATTTCACACTAGAAGACAAAAAATGAGGGTAAAGTCTACCACACTATGAGTTAGAAATGAATGTTCAGTGCTGTGCAAGCTCAGAGAAAAGCATTCCTGTGCTCAGGAATCACTTGTTTCCAAAAGCTGCACACACACAAAATATCACTCCATAAGAATTATGTGACACAGAACAATTAAAGGATTCACAGTCCTCAAGTATGCTGCAAAGAGTAAATAACTTTTTTTCAGCATGTATAATTTATCTGAAACCTTGTACCTAAAAGGCACGCAACAAAGGGTCGAAAGAGAATAAAAGCAGTAGAAATTTCTTCTAAGTGAGGCCATTCAACAAAATACGGAAGAACTCAGAAGACACTGCTTCTGGCTTTGTAAAGAGTTGAAATGCGCTAATAATTTTAAGGAAGGAGAACTAAGAGCAAAGGAGTTTACACTGAAAGAAAGCAACATCAGGATAATGAAATCATTAAAGATAAAATCCTGCAGTTCAGACCAAGCAGATAAAGCCAGGGCACAGACCTGTTCTGGGATACAAAGGGGCTGGAACACATTACATAACAAGACTACATTGACAAGGACAAAGGAAAAGCAGACTTAAACTCACAGGCAAGCATGAATATGATTTTGCTGTTGAATAAGATAAGGAAAGGTATAAGGTTACCAGCAGGATCAGACAAGAACATCCTGAATGCAAATGACCCATGAAAATATATCATCACTAGTAACAGACAGATCGGTAGGAGCCCATGAAGAGTAAGCCTAAAGCTCCTCAGAGGTGTTAACCAAGGAGTAGTTCTAATGAAGTAGAGTAAGAGGGCCTGAGCACAACTTGGCTGACAGCTTGCAGTTAGCAGGTCATCATTCACCCAGCACCTCCAATCGTACCTTTACACTTGACACAGCCCCACAGAAAGGTGTTGCAGAAAGGCAGATCTCACATACACACTTGTGCATGCGTGCACGCGCGTGCACACACACACACACACACACACACACACCCCTTTATTTTCTCCCTCTTCCAGCCAGGCTTCAATGTTCTCAAACCCAAGAGAGAACATTTTATATTCTGGAAGCAGAACAGTCATGCAAATGTATCTTCCACCATGAAGCCATCAATGGAAAGGGTAAGTATAAAGAAATGAAGTATGCTGTGTGCTCTATTTAACAAGCTGTCAAAAGAAGGCAAAACCAAATCAACAACACCATCCCTCAAAACCTAAAAGTCATTACTTCAACTTTCTTGCAAACTTTAACACCAGGGTGCAGTAAGCATTAAAAGTGCAGGATGTAGGAGACTGCTCCAGGAGGCACAGGCTTGCTTGTTGCCAAGTAAGACGATCTGAGTTCCATCCTCAGGACCCATGGACTGGAAGGAGAGAACTGACCTCCCCACCAAGTTGTCCTTTGACATCTACACAAGTTCTATATATACACACCTCCCCTATGTCTGACACAACAAGACATAGACATTTTTTTTAAAAAGGAATCATAGGTAGTTCCTCTCGATACTGAAGCCCTTTTTCTAAAAGTCTCAGCTGCTCCACCTCACTGTCCTCTACGAATAAAGCTGTAGCTCACAAAGCATCATGAAGATTCACCGGCACTTGGTGTGCCCATGTAGTACACAGAGCCTAGAGAGAAGCTCAGCCACTGGTGTGCTTGGGGTTTCCTCCTCTTGGTGATGCTACCAACAATGAGACTGAACACAATTGCATCTTTCCTTACCTTAGCCCTCATTTCTGAAAAGGCTGGATCAGTAACTCTAAACAGACTGGTACCCAGGCAGCACAAAGCCTTGTTGTGGAAGAAAAGGACTCTTGGTCTAAACGTGGTGAATTATTGAACAGCTATTCTTTCCAGAAGCTACAAGATCTTGAAATTTTCCCACTTGGTCTATCTACATGGCTTGCGGCAGCAATTTGTAACGAGTGTTGCCACTTCTGCTATGGTAACAAGGTTCTTATGGAACAGAAATATAAACCTGAAGAATAATATCTGAATGACTTAGTTGTGACTGTAGTAACACCTAGGAGAAATGATATAAGACGTCAACAGTATACCACAGGGATTTGACTAGATACCTTTTAATTGTTTCAGTTCAAAGGCAGAGGTATTTCAAAATGGCTAAGATAAATTCACTACAAATTAAATGACTTACTACAAGTGAAACTGGTCATGACTTCTATTTTGGAAGCAGAGGCTAGATATCAATTTAGTACCACTTGAAAGTGTTCTAGATACCACACATTTAAAAGTTTGCACAATTCAGGCCCATATGGTACAAATCTGGAGCCTGACAACCTAGGTCAGCACACAGGCTCCTGGCTAGCTATAGACTGGTGGACTAAGGGTATTGAGTATAAATACTGGTTGTGGTGAAGCTTAAATAAGTGAAGATGGAACCTGGAACGTGGTTGACAATGAATACACTAGCCATTAAAGCATGGCATCCACTAATCACCGGATACCTCAAAGTTTACCAATTTAAGTGACGCATGGTATTAGACACCTAAGGGTGAGTCAGACAGACTCAAATCTTTGTAGAAGAATGAAAGTCTGGGGCGATGAGTGGAAGGGGATGCAGCCAAGAACAGAAGGAGCAGTATTTCAAGCACTGAACATAGATGGCAGAGCGGCCTAAAACAGAGAAAGCTCTCCAGGGAAGCCTGCCAGCTCAGCAGTAGGACTGGGCCAAGGACCTGGTACTAACCTTCCTCATATAATACAAAAGAAACCTTGATCATTTATGTGCAGAATGGATCAATGTAAGCAAATAAAATAATACTGACCTCATTCTGGAACCTAAGTCTATCTTTCTCAAACTGAAACATTTTAAAGTTTATTTATAGAAATTGTAAAGTTATTATACAGAAAGTGACATATACCTATCACAAGAAGACGAAGTAAGTACATATCCATTAATAAAAACAATTGAAAGGACTCCTGAAGTTTTGGAGAAAACAGAATGAGAAGTGTTAGCAAATAAATGGAGGGTTTTCATTAAAAGTTCATCAACTCATTTTTAAGTGATTATAACTGAGTCCAGCAAAGTTAGCAACGAAGTTTGCCTGAGATGAAAAAGCAGCTCTCTAAACTCAATCTTCTTTTTCTTTATACTTCAAAACTTTTTAATCCTCACAAAACGTGTGCTGAAATAAAAAATGATTTCCCCACTTATTAAGAATAACAATTTTTCCCTTGCAATATGGTATCCCCTGTCTCCAAAGGGAAGCAACAATACCTTCTCACTTTAATATGTGTGTGTGTGTGTGTGTGTGTGGTTTTTTTTCCCCATCTAATCAGCTAATATTTTTCAAAAGATCTTTTTAATACCTAAATGAAAGGATTCTACCTCAAAGACCTGACCTCCCTATTAAAGCGTCTGAAGCAAACTGTAGGAATGTAAAACCTACTCAAAGGGAATGGCAGGGGGCTCATTGTACAATGCATTAAAAAAGGAGGGGAAAAAGGCTTCACGGGAGCTGCACGGAATTTGGTAAAATTATACCACAAAAATACAAATTGATCTTGAACATAAAGAAGCAAATTCATAACCAAAAACTTATTATAAATGTGCCCTGTAATCAGCCAGGAGGGAGCCTTTATAAAAACCTTCAGAATTTGTCACTTTTTCAATCAAAATTTCTGATTACAGTTTCATGTTAAAAAAGGCCCTAAAGAGAACAAACTACATATTTTTCAACGGATTTAAAATTTGAAAAATTTAAAGCTAATCTGCAACTCCAAAAAAGATAGGTTTCACAAGAAAAAGTAAGAAGAGAATTAAATATCACAGTTACAGAGAGACTAGGCAAGAACACTCACTGCAAGAACACTTTTCAGAAAGCAAAGGTAGAATTTTCCCGTACCATGAATGAAGTTCTGAAGTTGTTCAGGTCATTAAAGAACTCTTCCACCGAGACCTTCTTCATGTCGACAGCATAGTAGCCCATGGCACTCTGGTACAATTGTGTCATGTTGTCCAGTAGTGTGGAGAGTTTTTCATACTGCTCTCTCGCACTGGTAACGAAGCTGTATATACTAAGTCAAGGAGTTTTGAAATTTACAAAGCAATGCTATACATGAAAACATTTCTAGCTCCATATGTGATTCTAATTTTTGGTCACTCATCTTCCAAACTCAAAAATGGAGGCCAGAGAGTCTTCTCTAGGACATAGAGCAAAGAAACTGTTATTGAATTTCAAATTAATTCTGGCAAATAACCAAATAAGTATTTATATATTTAATATCTGCCTTTCATAGTTCACTTCAAGATTTTTTTCCAATTTATCATAATAATAATCTATGGAATGCAGCTTGTGAAATAAATGATTCTAGTTTAGCAGCTAAGACTCAGCAATTAGAATACCCTGAAGTAAAGAATATGGCCATGGAGAAAAGCAGTTAAATAGAAGACCTTAAGGTCAATGCATAGTGCCTGTACATCCTGTACAAGGCCTTCATCTCCCTCCCTCACCAGCCTCATCTCGAACCTGGAAGAACAGGGTCAATCGGTTCTAACTTGCCTAGAAGAGTGATCAGGCAGTTGGGAATATACATAAACACATGATATTGTTACTGCTCAATTACTCAATTGAAGCTGAAGATTTTAAGGGCAGAATAGTAAATTGATAGTTTAACTTCTTCTCTAAAATATTCCTATATAGTTTCTTCTCCATATTGCTTGATTAAAATTTATGCTTGCATACACAAAAAACAGTAGGCAAATGTGGAGATAGATATTTCGCATTGTTCTCACACAAATTTCTGATAATGTAAATCAAACTATTCTGAAATACAGTATAGTAATAAGAGAAGAGTATGTCGCTGGTAGTAGAAAAGATTTGGAAAACAGACAACAGGCCTTTATTTCAAAAAAAAAAAAAAAAACTACTGAGAAAATCTGATATAAAATCACCAAACCATATTTTGAAGAAAGACTCTCGCGAATCATACAGCCTAAGGACACTTGTACCAATATTTTATTTCAACCTTGGTAGGAAGGGTCTCTTCAAAAGTCTACTGAAATGTCATGGATATTCTATTCACAAAACTGTATGCACACATGCACTTGGATACATAGTTGAGATATAACATAATGATTCAAGAAGAAAGTACTTGGCTGAGGGTCTCTGGGTAATTCCATTCTTGTCCATTTCTGCCCATATAACTGCTTACAAGGCTGAATTTTAACAAGACACAATACACAAATATTATTAATCTTCTCCCAACATGTGGGGAGGTGCACATTGTCAATAATTCATTTGTCACAGAGTGTAAAATAAAGCAATGGTCCCGTGTAGGTTTTGAGGTAAGACTATGAGTAAGGAACCATCAGGAGTGCATCTGCATACATTTAGAAAACAGTGCAGTTACACTGAAGGATGGGAGGAAAAGACGACTCAAAGCCAGAGCCTCGGAAATGACATGGGTTTGTCCTAACAGCCAGGAGGGTTTTAAGTTAATTTTCTTATCATTATTATGTATAAAATGCTTTTCTCCAAAAGGAAATGAAGGAGAGCTTTGAATAATGGGAATTACCCAAAATAATAGTAAAGCTAGCTGTGCAAATAGCCAAATTACTCCTTAGCAGGTTGAAATGACTGTCTGATAGAGACAGAATAACTGCTTACGTGAATAAGGCTTACTACCTTAGTGCTCAGAGTCCCCTCTTTAAGGAACAATGGAAGAATAATTCTCACCATCTCAAAGAAGAACCAAAACTAGATGTCCTGTGCTGACTCCTAAATCCACTTAGACAAAATGTCTATGCTAGCATACGGTTCACATATGGAATCTTAGCACGTGGTGGGCTGAGGCAGGCTTAATACTACTAGCCTGGGCTTAAAAGAAAGAAAAATCAAAAGAAGGACAGGAAGGAGGGAGGGAGGAAAGAAAGGAGGAGAGAGGGAGAGAGGGAGAGAGGGAGGGAGGGAAGGAGGGAAGGAGGGAGGGAGGGAGGGAAAGAAGGAGGGGAAAAGAAATATGTATGTCAGTAACGGGTAGGCTGTATCAATTTTTCTAACATCAAGTTCTCTATTTGTTTAGAAAAACAGGCAACATATAACAAAATAAACTTTTGAGATAGTGTGAATTTATGTGTGATATATGACACACACGTTACATCTACCTTGTGTTTTAAGAAATCTATTTCTCTTTTCCTTTCTCTTTATCAAAACTGAGGAAAATCCCTCAAATATTTCCACTTGAATCACTGTAGTTGTACTATTCAAAAGACACATAAGAAGCAGATGTGTGTACACATGATCTGAGAACAAGTAGCCAGAGCTAGCTAAAACACAACTTGTACTGTAGTCCTTGTCTACCACTACTGTTGACTGCCGCCTTCCTCCACAGCTTCAGCCACACTCTAACATTACTACAACATTAGTACACTGCCATCATCAGGAACACCCTGCTTCCATGGGCTAGGGAAATCGTGGGTAAGGTGCCTGCCATGCAAGGAGGAGGACCTGAGTGGGGGTGCCCAAACCCATGTAAAAGGTCAGGGGAAGGGGACTGCGCTGTAATTCCAGAGCTGGGAGGTAGGAGCAAGTAAGTATCTGTAGCTCCCTGTCTAAGTAGCTTAGTCATATGTGTAAGCTCTCAGTTTCGAAGAGATCCTGTCTCTTAACATGAGCCAGAGAGTAACTCAGGGGTACCAGAAATCGCCCTCTAGATTCCACATTCAGAGGGTCAACACACACACACACACACACACACACACACACACACACGGGGTGGGGCAGAGACACACAGAGAGAGACAGAAAGAAAGACAGAGAGAGAGAGACAGAGAGACAGAGGGAAAGACTGAGAGAGAGAAAGAGAGAGAAAGAGGGGGCAGAGGCACATCATTTTACTAAGACAGTGTTCAAGGAGCAACTTGAGTGAGATCCATATATCTAATGTATTTGACAAGCCTTTTTTAGAACCCAGGACCTAGACAACCATTTCAAGAAATACACTTAAGTTCAGTGCACCTCTAGGTCTTAGAGAGAAGAGTATTTAACAAGATCATCTAACGTTCTGTGGTCATATAATGTGCATTATATAGAATGGAGACAGATAAGTATAAAAAGGTGAAAAGATCCCATAATAATCAATATGAAACAAATTAACATTTCTTTTGCTACACAGGGAGACAGAGCGAGATGAGAAGGGGAATAGTCCTGCCTAAGATGAAGGGGATGGCTAAGCAAACTAGGTCATTATCTGTAAGACAAAGAACACCAAGCTGTTGGATAGTGGAGTAAGGGAAAAGGTCACTGTAAACTAGATTCAAAGAGATCCAGAGTAGCATATTTAATTTGCCTTTAAAAGTCATTATAAATAAATAAAATAAAGAAAAAAGTAAAGAGAAATTACAAAGAGATAGTGGCCACACAAGAGAAATTCAAGAAAACAAAATCCATATACTCAATGACCCAACATCTCATAATTAGTAATTAATGGGGAAGGGCCCAGGCCATTGTGGGTGGTTAGATCACTGGCCTGGTGGTCCTGGATTCTATAGGAAAGCAAGTTGAGGAAGCCAGGGAGAGCCAGCCAGTAAGTAGCATCCCTCCATCATTTCTGCATCAGCTCCTGGCTCCAGGATCCTGCCCTGCTGTTGTTCCTGTTCTGACTTTCAACAAGGATGGACTGTGATCTGAAAGTGTAAGCCAAATAATCCCTTTCATTCCCAACTTGTTTTTTGGTCATGGTGTTTCTTCTCAGCAAGAGGAACCCTAAGACAATCTATTTCTTTCAAATATTTCTATTAGTAGATTATTTAATACTTTATTGAATCACAGTTGTTCAAAGTGAACATTTACTCATAAAGATACATTTTTAACAAATCAATTAGCCAGGCAGTGGCGGCACACGCCTTTAATCCTACCACTTGGGAGGCATAAACAGGCGGATTTCTGAGTTCGAGGCCAGCCTGGACTACAGAGTGAGTTCCAGGACAGCCAGGGCTACACAGAGAAACCCTGTCTTGGGAAAAAAAACAATTAATATACAATACTCCTCCAGAATGGGTTGAAGAACTCATGTTTTTCCTATGGGCTTCAACTCATAAGCATTTAATCATAAAGCATCAACAAAGTTTGAGTGCTAATAACAAATTTAGTACATTTTTTATTCATTGTGCATTTTTTGCTTCTAAACCCTTCCATTTTCAGAAAGCTCACAATTTGCCATTTTAATAAGATCTGTATAAATTCATTTAATATTCAAAATTTGACTTGTCAGTCCTAATTAAAGTAAACAAAGTCTTGCAACGAATGAATTTAATTACTTCAAAACTAGTATGTCTAACTAAGATGAAAAGCAAACGAGTGCAGTCTAATCTTGGCAAAGAATAGTTATGATTATAAGCTTTGTCAATAGCAAAGTGCACCAACTGTTCATATATCTGACTTCCAAGAGACACATGAATGCTAATCAGTTCATTAGAGGCTTCTAGGTTGTGATATTTAGCGACAGGATATAGTAGCTCTCCTGTCCGTGGAGTGTAATTTTACTCAGAATGAAAAACTGTTTCCAGCAAAGCCTCATCCTTCCTGGTACGGATTTCCTGCTGTCTGTGTTTTATGAGCTGCACACCTTTCAGGAAGCTGACAGCATCCAGTACTTTGTCATATGAATACAGGCAGGGGTATGTCCAGAGACCATCTGCGGAGCACGATTTGAGGATTTTGTGCTAGCTTGAGAAACCCAAGCTTCCTAATTAGCCACTCACAATGTTAGATCAAAAGCTACATGGGATCAAAATTTTTATAAGATGCTTTATATATCTATAGCAAACAAAAATTTCAGTTAATAATACTTAAGGGTTAAAAAACAAAACAAAAAATAACAATAACAACAATAAACAGCAGCAACAAAAACAGTAGTCACATGTGATTGTGACAACATGATAAAAGTAACTGAGAAACAAATCCAAGTATAATTATGAAAACATAACTGCAATATACATACAGTAAATGCATAATTTGTCAGTTGTAAGGGTGATGAAAATCTATACTTCTGATGGATTATTTACTTAATTTTTAGTCTAAAAAAAGAGAGAGGAAAATAAACCCTTACCAAAGTCTATAGAGACAACCTCTTTAAAAAGCAGCTGGGTGGGAGATAAGATTCAAGAGGAAACAAACACATTATCCTTAACTGATTGCTACTGAGTGCATTTTTATAATATTTCCTGACAAAGATAGAGAAGGAAGATAAAATTGAACTAATTCACAATTAGGTTGAAAGCACATACAATAAAGTCTATGACAAACCAAATAATAATTTTCTGATTCACTAAATGTCAAGGGAGAAGTAAAAAGAGGAAGTCATATTACTTCAAGTACATCAGTTTAATGTATTAGGGAAGTCTATTTATAACTCTTCATTTCATAACTGGGTTGTCCTTTCATATAAAATTCAGATATCCATATGGGATTTTAATAATGCATTATAACAATACTTCACTATGAAAAAGATACCGATTGCTGATTTCATACAGTAGTCTGCACAGCAATTCATCATTAGCTTCAGGAAACAAGGAAGTTCATTACTTCACTTCAGTTACTAATTAGAGACTATGCTACAAAGGTAATAATAAAAAAGATAAGTGAATACAAAGTAACCTGTAAATCAAATAAGATACAAACCTCTGTGCTACTAATTTATATACACTGTTTTCAATTTCACTTTGAGTTAGAAGAAAGCATACACACGCAGCTCCTTTTTTTTAGTTTGGAATGGCAGAGTCTTCTACAGAAAATGCATTAAATGGCATCAGAGTTAATTTCTAATTTATATCAATCCTTGACTAGTAGTAATCAATCATGATGGGATTTTATAGTCTATTTTTGATTCCTAAAATAGTTCAAATGTAGTTAAGTCACATTTCACGACATTAGACTCAAATTTCCTCAAACTATGTTTTAATATCTTCATCAAAAGGAACAAGATGGAATGAACATTCTAGTATTCAAGAAGACAAAGGGTAAAAAGACATAGAAATATTTGGTCTATTATTTATGATAAAATAATCCCTCATTAGTTTAGCTGAAAGATACAAGTTAAACTTTTAATAATATGGCGCTATGTAATGTATGTTAGTTATAAAAGCACACTTAAAAAAATAAGAAATTGTAGATCCATTGACAACTAACTTATTTAGATATCAAAAGGATATGGACATCTTTATCACAAAGTTGTCATGCAAGTCCTCAGGAGGGGGAAAGGTTTCCAAATTCTTCTCAAGCTGTTGAAGCTGCCTTCCCATCTGCTTCAAGTTCTTTTCCAGCATTTCTACAGAGACTAGAAGAGAGCATATTAAATGCCTTGAAAGGACAAAATTATAATATATAAAAGGTACAACAATCTAGCAACAAATCATTTAAAAAAAAACTCATAGTGGGAAAATGCATTCTAAAACATTCTGTTTCATCAAATTTAATTTTTAACCTTTTGAATTTTAAACCCAGATACAAAGGGAATAAAATAATCGATTCTTTATAAAATAGGGAGAAATACAGGAAGTTCCCACATAAGTCAACCACATTTAAGAAATAAAAGGTTAAAAGTAGACATCCGAACCACTAAAAACACAACAGAAGAATAATCTATTCACATAAGAGCAAAGGAAGTTCATTTGAAATAATGAACTCAAATATAATCCTTACATTTTCTCCAACAAATCCCGTGAGACAACTGGTGAACAGTTGGGAAGAATGCGCCCAAAGTGTCTCTAGTGGACAAACGAATCTCTCACAGGAAGGAAGAGGTCGGAGATGGCATTTTAGATCACAAAGACATTCTTTACCACTACCTGAGCACTATGTTTATTATCTAATCACAGGCAGGCTCCATCTTTGAACTCAACGTGTTCTCTAAGTCAGTATGCATGAACAACCCATGGTAACCAAGACAGCTGAGGCACTGGTGAAAGAATGGGCTTTGCAGCAAACACGAAGCGAACGATCAACTCTCCACAGACTCATTCACTTTTACATGAATAAGGTAAGAGGCAACTCTTCCACAAAGTAGACAGTACCCTCAAAGTGACGTTTAAACGCTGATTTGCTTTAGGTTCTGATAAATTTTAATAAAAATTCCTATTAACTTATATAAAATGATATCTTTAAATAAATACAATAATTCTAAGTATCCTTTCATTTTCTGACATTGAATTAATTGTGAAGAATGAGTATAACTTTTAAGTAAGTGTGAAGCAATCAAAATACCCAGGAACATGCAAACAAACAAACAAACAAGCATAACAACAAAACCCGACAATAATGGTTTATATTCGTGAAAAAAAATGAAACAAAAAATGATGTAAAAATTATAAAGTGGTATTATTGTGTTTTTATACAGTTCTGTACCAAACAACAATTATATCAATAGCTTTTAACAAAATCTTAGCATATAATTTTTATTAACAATCTAATTGTTAAATACCACAATTACTGACTTCCAAGACTTAATTACACGTAACAGTTGATATTATAGCCATTGGCTCAGACCATGGGAAAATCATTCTCAATTTATATTAATGTATATTTTCCCAAATGATTTATCATCTTTTCTCTTTTAAATTTCTGGTGTATAACCTATGTAGGCTTTTCAAAGTAAGACAGGGCTAAGGATGGAGCCGAGAGACACAGCGTACATTGAGTTTACTGGAGGCTGTGGGTTCAGTTTACCTACTAAATTTAAAAGTAAATGAGAAGGTAACGGAGACAAAGGTTTACATGGAATCCTTCCACTATGACAGCAGTTAATGTAATAATTAAATCTGGTTCATTGTTATTTCCAGGCAGCATGTTGCTGGACACTGCTCTTAATGGTAATTGGTCCTCTTATGTCTGCTCATCAATATATCCACAACCATGGCTTCTCCTCAACCAGATCTATACGACTTCATTTACTTCTCTTACTTCCAAGTGCTTATTTTGCTACTTCTTAAGTTCTCTATCTGAATTACAGAATAGATACCTTTTGTTCTCCGAGTCTATTTGGTCCCTTTTCTAATGTGTCATTAGCATGTGTGTTATAACTTTTCAAGAAATCTCTCAAGTGGCTCAATAGTTTTTATACTTTAAAAATGGTATTGTGTAAAGATTTTAAAAACATTACTTTTTATTAACTAAATAAGTGGAAAGGAAAGTTTAAAGTCCTGTACCAACTTTTACTACTATTTTACTACTACTGCCATGAAGTAGTATTCACGGCAGTAGTTGCTATGATACAACAGTATCAATGATGATCGTCGCCTTTGCTAAGCATTGATATATATGCCTGCCTTTCTCACATCATGATCTGGGTATCATTAGTGCTCCGAGTTGACAAAATGAGGAAACTGAGGCTTAGTATTCAAGGAAAGCATAGACAACTAAAAAGTGTATTTTTTAAAAAAGAACATTTAAAGTCATAACCTACTATTAAAAAAAAAACCCATATGCCTAATATAGTAGGAAAAATCTAGACAGCAACAAATAGGAGTGTGAAAACCTTCGTAAGTCAAGACACCAGGGATACGCTGGGAAATGAACCTAACCTACAACACAAAAAGATGCAAAACCTGAAGCTTGACTGAATACATATTTACTTAATGAAGTACATGTTTATGTGGGTTTCAACCTTTGTTTAATAAGGGATGCCAAAGATTCTGTAAGTATTGTAAAAAATAAAAAAAGAATGAAGAAAATGGTTCCTGACACTGGAAATCAACAACTGTGAGTTTGGAGAACACTTGGGAAACAAAAGGCACAAGACAAGTGCTGAGAGAGAACATGGCTGAAGCTGTTAGTGGTGGGGTTGCTAGTACTTCGGTGGTGGTTGTTTTCTTGTACCACAGACTTTTCCAACACCACCTGAGTTTCTTAACTCTTCACACCTGGATTTTGTACACTTCCATGTTAGGCTAACAGTCAGCAGTATATTCAGAACACAGAATCCATTGCACAAGGCAACCTTCAATTCAGATGCCAACATCAATCCCAGGCAGTCATCCATATTTCTCAACTGGCTGGAACTTTGAGGATCTGTACAAGCCCCTTCTCTAAAGTTGCAAAGTTCAATAGGGTGACTCCTGAACTTGGGAAATCACAATCCTTATCACTGCAGTGTTATTAAAATGGACACAACACAGGAACAGCCCAAGTAAGGAGAAGCCTACTACTGAGGACAGGAGATCTGCCAGAACTGCCTGCTCTCTTTAGGCAAGACACCCTTCGCCCAGAAATCTCTTGGCTCACAGACCAGGAAGCTCCCTGAACGATTTGCTTCTGTCTGTATTGGAATACTATTACAAGGTAAGGTAATTAAACCACTGGCCAAGGATGCCTAACTCAAGCTTGACAGCCTCTCCTTCCTTTTCCTTGAGGATGAGGGGAGAAGGATGTTAAAGTACCCATCCTTTACTCACATATTTAGCACACTGGAACACTAGTCCATATTGGACAGAAGGCTTCTGTAACCATCCTGTACAGTGCATTGAGGACTGCTTTCCTGTGGTATGAATCAACTTCTTTTATGTCCAATTTCAACATTATCAAAAATAGAATTATGCCACATCAAATTCTTTCCTTGCGGATATTTTGTAAGATATCATCTAACATAGGATGGAACCTTTCTGAGAGTGGGGGAATATAACGTGTTTTTCTTATTTGTAGAAGTAAATAAGAAATGATGAAATGTCAAGGCTGAAATACATGATGGCAACATCTAAGAAACAACAGGAAAGGCAAGGTGTTCCCCACTACCATATGCTGCAGGGCCACAGGACATTGTGGCACTGTGGGAATCAGGCTAAAGGAAGTCACTGTGTTCCAGGGCAAATCATTAGAGGTGCTTGGGGCACATTTAAGGCCACCAGCCAGAATAATTAAGCTACCCTTTAAAATGTGCTTGTGTCTACTCTACAAACAGAAATCCTACTAAGTGATTTCTTCTGCTTCATCTGCACTCTATGATTACATTACTCGTACATTGTAGTTAAGTGAATTTAAATGTAATTGACCAACCTCTCACTGCTAGCTTTTAAGTAAGGACCAAAACACATTTGGAAGAGAAAAAGGAGTGTGTAAATTCCAGGCTAATAAATACAGTGTAATGGTTGGAACCATTGAACGGGTAAAACTAAAGAGTTTTAAGAATCACTCTGGCAGGTTTTTTTTTTCCCAGCAATTACTAAATTTCTATAAACAGCTTTTGTTCTTCTTCAAACAAACTTTTACACTTGAGGCTCAAAGATTATTTTTCATGAGTAATTTCAAAACAGACAGGGGACTTTTCAGCTGTATACTCTGGAAGTGTTCATTCACAGGCATATGAGCTAAAGAGTGGATGCTCTCTACAAGAACAAGTGCTCAATCTCACAAGATGATGCCTCTTTCAGACGCCAGTTTAGGGGCTGGAGATATAGCTCAGTGGTAGTGAGCTTGGCTGGCAAGCCTAAGGCACGGATAAGGTTCTTAGCTCTGGTTGGGGTTAGGGGGATTTAATATCAGTTTCAAGGGCAGATAGCTATCAATTCTGAATTTCCTATAAATCCGAGGATTCCTAGAAACTCCAGCCTATCTTTTATTCTTCAACTTTGTCACATTTCTGGACTAAGAAACAAATCGAGTACCATTACTTAGAATAAATATAATAAAAGGAGAGCTGTTATAAAGTTAGCTCTTTTAGCTTTTAGTGATGATTCAATCAGATAGGCTACCTCTCAATCACCTAAGGCATATGGGCCAGCACTCAACAAGTGTATCTACAGAGGAATGGCAGAAGGACCACCACAAGTTGATTCCTGTACACGGAGCTGCTAGTTTTGAACTTTCCCTGTCATAGATAATATTTAACTACATACAATAGGCATTTCACTCCTAGGCTCAGAGTAAATATCTCTGGCTCTCCTCCAAGTTCCAGTTTTTCCACATTTGTAATGAGCATTTGGATTTCCACACTAATTCCCGGTTGTCTGTTACATAATATTTGAGTAACTGGACCAAGATCTACCCACAACCTGGCAGGATATAGGTGATGATCTTTTATAAGGTATTCTCAAACACAATATATACATTATAGCTCTGTTGTTCCTATAGGCTGACCCTCATCTTGTACCTGATTCTATAAATCTCATGTACCATATCTACCTGTGCTGACCATCCCACTCCTTATCACTCTTGTCTTTGGCCTTATCTCAAAAGCCAAACCTCAGCAAATCCACTAGAAAGTATGCTCTAATGGTTCTACCATTAGAACCATAAAGTGCCTCAAGCTTTGCAATTGAAGTATAAAGTTATCACTTTATGTAGCCT